TTTTAGTATGAGTATGTCTCATGTGTTTGGGGGATATACTAAAAAATATATTTATGTGTTATTTATCTGAAATTCCAATTTAACTGGGCAGCCTGCATTTTGTATAGATGGGGACAGGCCTGCAGGCAGACAAAGCCAGGACAGAGCCAGGCACAGCAGAGGGCACGCTCAGGAATCCTGCGGCTCCTTGGGAAGGGGTAGAGGAAAGTGAGATAGGAAACTGGGAAACTGGTCCCCCGCCCGACCAGTCCCCATGGCAGGAAAGCAAATAGGACCCGGGGCTAGAGACGTGGGCTCTGCGGGACTCCAACCCTGACCTCCACAGAACAAGACAGGGACCTCAGAGAAGCCCCAGGCTTCACTGGGCCCCTTCTCTCCGTCTGTTGTTCTGGGTGACCTTAGGCAAGATCAGTGGACTGTCCCACTGCTCTGTGTATGGTTGGGACAGAGTGCCAAAGGAGTCCCCAGGTGTCTGAGCAGAGAATTGGCTTCACCAGGGGTTTCGTGATTTCTCCCTTGGACAGGAGAGAACTGCCACGAACTCCATATCTGCTACTTACCGCAAAGCTGAATCAATGTGTCACTCCCTAGAATCCCAGCCTCCTCCCAGACTCCCCACCTGTAGTCTTACCCTCTCCTTCAGTGGCCTCACTAGCGAAAAGAATCAGTAATAAATACACTTCACTGAATACGTATCCTCTTGACTAGGTATCTTGTTTCATCTTTACAGCAACGCTATGAAGTGAACACTGTCATCATTCCCATTTGATAGATGAGGAAACTGAGGCTTAGAAAGTGAATTAAATTACCAAGATTACCTAACTAGTCAGCAGCAAAGGAAGTTTAATCCCAGGTCTGTGTGACTCCGGGGTCCCTACTCCAGTGTGTCTGTGCCTTCTCCAGGCCCGTATGTCATATACGTGCGCTCGTGTGCCTCAGCACTCACCCTATGATTGGGAGTCTTAGAGGAAGGGGCCAAACTGGCGCGGAGGAAACAACAGTGTTTGTTGACAGACTAAATCTTGTAGAAAGACCAAATCTGGTTCCAAAAATGTGCCCTTTTGCCTTCCCTGTGTCCTGCTCCTCTGCCCCTCTTCCTGTCCTTCCAGGCCTTTCAGCCACACTCTTGGAACAACCTGAGTAGCCTCCCACGTGTCCAGATTCAGCTGAGGCTCGTGCTCTGCGGAAGGAACCAGCTTGTGACTTGTCTGTCCTGAAGCTCTGCTTCAGAGGAAGCCCCTCCCTGGGCCCTGGAACACGGTCCTTCGTCCCTAGAGGAAGCGATGCCTTTGTCCCTACTCAGATAAACAAACAGAACCCTTAGGACGTGTGTAATGTGAGGTGCAGGAGGAGTCCCTTAACCACGGAGATAGGCCTGGCCTTCCTCCCCAGGTCACCAGCAGGCGCCTGGGGACAGCCAGGGCCCAGCTAGATAAAAGGACCATGCCTAGCCCCTTTTGCAGATGGATGAATCGAGGCTCAGGACAGGGAGCCATGCCCCTGTGCCAGCAGGGCCTCCCCCGTCCTGGCCTTTTCCCACCTAAGACACACATAAGCTCAGGCCCTCAGTGTCATGCCACACTGGTGGCATCATTCACAATGTGGTTCCTGAACAGGCTCCCCAGGAGCTTTGTGACACAGCAGCCGGTACAAATACAAGTACACACACACACACACACATGCCCCCTGGCTTTGGGCCCCCTGTAGACCCTTCTACTCTCCCACTGTTCCCCCCACATTGTCAGATCAGAGCCACAGGAAACAGGGCCAGCAAGTGTGCAAACCAAGGGCCAAGATGGGGAAGTTTATTTTCCAAGAATCATCTAAACACACAGGGAGTATTTTTAGTCCCTGGCTCCCACCCGGACACAAAATCTAAACAGGGGACCAGCGGGACAGCCCACTAGGGATAGAGGGCAACTGGCGGAGACAGCGTAGGACAGGGTGCTGCAGACCCCACCCTGCCCCTGGCAGCGGATGACTCTGCAGAAGAAGAAAGCCGGCCTTGGGAGCCGAGGTGGTGCAGAGCAGTGACCACAGGTTCTGACAGGTTCCCCACTCCCCATGCCTCAGTTTCCCCAACCATGCAGCAGAAAAAACCTCGCCACTCTGAGAGGATCACAGCAAGGCCCATGCCCTGCACAGAGGAGGCAGTCAACAAATGAGGTTCATGTTCTGTGCTGGGAACCTGCGTGAAAGAACCAGTGACTCTCAGTAAGGTCAGGTTGTGGCCAAAACTATAAGCCTGTGAGCCTCCCACAGGCCTGGCCGGCTGCAAAGAAGTGTCACGTGTATATGTGAGTGACTGTGAGTATATGTGTACGTGTGTGTGTGTGTGTGTGTACATGTATCTGCACACATTATGCAGCCACCCAACGGGCATTGGAGGTGAATGAAAGTAGGGATGAGGAGAGGGTCCCCACTGAGTCCTTTCTGTGAATAAGGGGGTTGTTGGTAGCCCCATGCTCCCTCTGAGAGAGCTGTCTCAGGAGCCAGGCCAGGCTGGGCAGGAACCCAGAGCCAATTTCTCCAGGGCAGGGCCTGCTGGGATGTGTGGGGCAGCAGAGAGGGAGGGAATTCACTCACAAAAGGTAGTTCTTCAAGAACCTGGGCCCGCAACACAGGCATGGCACCAGCCTCAGCCTCTCGGGTGTGAGGGCCAATTGCAGGGCCAAGCTGCCCACTCCTGGGGAGGCTGACCAGAAATGACTCTGCTACAGCACCTGCTCTAACCTCAGGAACAACAGGCCAGACATGAGGAGGTGACCCAAGCCCTGGGCACTACAGGATAGCTGTGCTCATTCTGGCTTCTGCTGATCAGGTTTATTATTATGGGGCCAAGGGGTCAGGGGAAGGTCATGTTTTTCTGCCTAGGGGAGGAAAGGCCAGGATTTTCTGGTCCTGCTGCCACATTATTCACAAGTTTGCCTTGAGGGCAGGAATGGAGGGGTCAGTAGTTGGGGGTGCAGTTCTGCCCTTAGAGCCCTGAGCCTGGGGGAGCAGCTTAGTTCCCCTGCAGTCTGCGTGGGAACTGTACTAAAGAACAGGTTCAGCGTCCATACACCCCCTGCTGACACAGGCTGCCTGCTGTAGCCATGGCAACCAAAGTACCAACATCCCCCCAAGCTGTGTGGTCACCAGGGAGGGGGGGGGTGTTTATTTTTGGTCACAGAAGGAAAGAGGGAAGGGAAAGGTGGGAGGGAGAACAGCCTTTTTCCCTCTCCAGGCTTAGCTGGTTGGTCCTCATCCAGAGGTATGAGGTAGGAGAAAGCTTAGAGGTCACTGCCTCCAGACCAATAGGCAGTGAGGCTTCCAGAAGGGGGAACAGGCTGGAGGTGGTGAGCACTCATGTACACTCATGGCATCTATACTTGCCCATGGGGAACCCCTCACGTGCACTCATGGCATCTATACTTGCCCACGGGGAAGCTCACCACCTCCAGCCTGTTGGAGGGGTTGCCCTCACACCAAGCCAGAGCAACTGGCCTTGGCCTTGACCTTGGCCTCTGCACCAGCCCCGGCTGCTGGGTTCTGCCTCACTCACCAAAGCTGTTTTCTTCCCTGCTTCACACAGCTCACACCCTTTCAAAACCCAGCACTGCCCTGGTCAGTGAGGTCTCAGAGCTTGGGGCCCCTCTGTTCCTGGTGCCAGGGGCCTGACCTGGCTTGGAGGTGACTGCCTAGAGAGGTCCTTCTTTCTCTCTCCCCGTGGGGCTCTGGCCCCTCCCTTCCCCTTCTGCAGCCTCCTAATTTTGCCCTCTTCTATTCCCAGAAAGGAAAAAACCTCTGGAGACACAACCATGATGGAGGTAGGAACCATCTCAGGCCAGTCCAGAGCGGTCCAGCCCAAACTCTTAATTCACCCCTGACTCCGTCTCCTCTGACATTTTATTACTGATCCATGACAGACCCTGCTCCTGGATGACTGCAGTGGCCCTTGTTCTGCTCCACCATGACAGCCCCTATATCACCTCTCTCTGCTCAGACCAACACCGCCCACTCCCTCCCTGAGCTCTCCTTCTCTCCTTCCCTCCCTCTGCACTCCGTGCTGGTTCCCTGCTGTTCCTTCACCGCCAACACTTGCTGTCCCCAGATGGCTGCCTTCTGTCTTCCGGATGCCCCTTGACAGCCTTCCCTGAGCGCCCATGTAAACTGCAGCTTCCCTCCCTGACTCTTCCTAGCGTTTACTGTTTTCTGATACATTAGACAATGTGTCTATTTTATTTATAGTCTGTCTTTCCTCCGGATCATGAACTCCAGGAGGGCAGGCGTTTTTGTCTGCTTTATTCTCTGCCACACCCTGGGTGCCTAGAACATAGATGTTCTAGAAATAGCTGAGCAGGCCGGGCTAGGTGGCTCACGCTTGTAATCCTAGCGCCCTGGAAGGCCAAGGCCGGTGGATTGCCTGAGCTCACAGGTTCGAGACCAGCCTGAGCCAGAGTGAGACCCTGTTTCTAATAATAGCAGTACTATGGCAGGTGCCTGTAGTCCCAGCTACTTGGGAGGCTGAGGCAAGAGAATCGCCAGAACCCAAGAGTGAACCCAGGAGTTTGAGATTGCTGTGAGCTATCACGCCACAGCACTATACCGAGGGCAACAAAATAAGACCCTGTCTTAGGAAAAAAAAAAAAAAGCTGAGCAAACAAATGAAGTCTGCTGCCCACTTGCCTGGGCTGTACCCACACACAACCCCCGTCGCACCCCAACTGCAGAGAAGAAAGCACAGGGCTGTGTCATAGCCCCAGTATGGGACCTCTCATAACACCTCAGTTTCCCCACTATGTAATGAGAGATTGGATGGGGTTAGGGTTCTTCTGGCTTTCGTTGTGTTGCAGCTCCAAGATACGGGGTGTAGGCAGGGAATTTGCAAAGGCAGGGTGTGGGGACACCTGGCGGGACCTGCATGGAAGAAACTGCCAGGCCTTGAGACCCCTGCCCTGGAGCAGGAGTGAGTTGAAGGGAACAGAGTGGGGCAAGCAGCTAAAAACAAAGGAGAAGGGTTTCTCCAAAAATACACACATATTTTAATCATGCCTAAAGTCCAACCTGGGACACCTAAGGAGCGGGAGGAAGCCCAAGCCTCTAGGGCTGAGGCCAGAGGTCCCATGTGCAGGAGTGAGCGGTCACCGGAGAAAGCCAGCCGCCAGGTAGGTGAGTGTGGGGACCAGCAAGGTAGGCAGAGGCAGGGGCAGCAGCTGTCCTGGGGCCTGCGACTTGAACACTGTGCGGTCCCCAAGTCTCTGCACGGGCCGGACGTTGTCTGTCATATTTACTCTCTGTTCCGCGTCGTACCACAGCTTCTGGGAGAACACCAGGATCTGCAGAAGGGAGAGGGCTCAGCAGTGCAGCAGGAGGCGCTCAGGCCAGAGGGGCTCTGTATTGCCCTCTGAAGGCCGATATGAAGATGACGGGAATAAGGGGTGTGAAGTGCTTGCTTGGTGAGCCCAAGCTCCCCTGGGCTTCCCTTAACTCACAGTGCAGAGGGCCCACGATGACTGCTACTATTGTCACGGTTGCTACAGTACATCAGCTTCAGCTAAGGGTGGGCTTGTTGGGCCCCAGAACCTTGAGACCCACCCCCCGAGTTTCTGATTCTGTAGTTCTGGGGTTAGGCGTAAGGATTTGCATTTCTAATAAATTCCCACTGGTGATGATGTTGACACCACCGGCCCAATGACCACACTTTGAGAATCACAGCTGTGAAATGAAAGTGCACAGGGCAGGGATTTTGGCCCTTTGGAAATCCTGCCATCTCCCCCAAGTCTGGTATACTATAGAAACTGGAGTACCATTTGCTGAGCGAAGGAAATATTTTCTACCGTCTCTGAGCACCTCCTGGCCAAACGCCTGCCCACATGCTAACAACCTCTTTCCCGGGCAAAACAGCCCACCTCTCTGTCAGCCTGCCCTGAATGTCTGTGGATAGAACTAATGGACTTCAGCTCCCTGGGACTCCCTGCCCACAACCGGGGACCTCTTGGGGCCCCAGAGGGATGATGTCTGGGGAGCCAGGCAGTGGGGGCTGCACCCTGCCCCAGGCCCTGCACACCTGGTCTCTGCGGAGCTCAATGGACTCCTGGAACACAGTCCAAACAACCGTCTCATCACAGTTTGGTGTGGTGAGTGAGCCCTGGTAGCGGAAGTAGTGCCTCAATTTCTCCTCCTTGGGGAGCATATCCCATAGGCTGAACTCTCTCATTTCAGTGTCCATGCCTGGGGTGGGGGGACAGAGGATGTTGTCAGGGGGGTGGGGTAAGGAAATCCTCATACCCCAACTTCCAAGAGCCCAGCTGCCCCCCAACCCTTGCCCCTTTCTTTGTGGGGAGACGCCCCCTCCTCACACTGTGGCCTCTTCCCCATCCCAACTCACCAGGTTTGGGGATATGAGCCAGTGCCTCCACCAGCGGCCAGAAGCCTTCATTCTCCTTAGGTCCTTCCTGGAACAGGTGGGGAGGGGCTTTGAGAAGGTCTGTGGAGAGCTGTTTGTCACAGTGAGTTTGTTCTCCTGATGTGGGGTGGGGGAGGGTGGGGGAGGTGGTATCTGGGATCGAGGCTCTGGGCTCCTCACCTGGCCAAGGGGCATACAAGTCACTGAGAAACCGAGGGGAATCAAAGCTTCTCCTGCCCCCTTCTGCTTTGCCTGAGTCCCAGGTCTCTGGACCCTGTTCCCCAGGAGTTAGACAGTGGGAGTCTAACCTTCACCAGGAAGGCCAACACCGCGATGTCATCCCCAGTGTTCTGGGCCTCTTTTGCACTCTTGGATGTCCCCGTCACTTTCTTATTATGTACGATGTGCATCTGGTAGAAGGTGGGAGGGATGGAGAGAGGACCTGTGAGGGGGCTGGAACAGTCTCCTTGCCCAAGGTGTGTACACACCCAGAGCCCAGCCAGGACACTGATCCAGAGGGGCCCTTACCTCCATGGCAAAACGCTTCCCATCAATGCTGTGCTCCGAGCCTGCATTCATCTCACTGGACCAGTGCAGGTGCAACTGCGTGGCCTGGTACCCGGTAGGCAGTCCTCCTCCAGAAATTTCAATATTGTCATTCTTCAGGGTCACCTCCACTGGGGCACAGGAGGGGACAGGTCCTCAAACCAGCTTCCCTGGAGCCTCTCCCAGTCCCCCATCCCAGTTCTCACCCTTTCTGGGCTACCCCAGCCTTTCCTAGCCCCCTTCCCTGCCTGCCTCCCCTCTCCTGTACAGCCCCCAAACCCCCAAATCACAACCATGCCCTGCTCCCTGCTCTAACTCTCTCTGTGGTGCCCTGTTGTCCTTGGAGTAATGTCGGAACTCCTCACCCTGGGTGGCCTGCCTCTGGGCCCTAGCCCAGCTGGACCCAGGCCTTCCTTAACTCGCTGCCCTCCATCCACACAGAACAGCTCAGCTCGCAGTTCCCCAAACACCCCAAACAGTTTCAGGCCTCTGCGCCTTTGCACATGCCGTTCCTTCATCCTGGAATGTTTCCCCTCCCCCAACCCCAAGAATGGTCTGATGGAAGCATTGAAATCACCGAAGTTTCCAGCCCCTCCTCAGTGCAAAGATAGACCTAGGCCTGGGGTGTTGGGGAACTCAAGGTGCCTGTGCCTACCGAGGTGTCCTCTAGCCCACCTGAGTGTCCATTGTTGCTCACGTTCCTTTTTTCCTTCTTATCGTAGCCAGAGAAGATGAAGTGTCCCAGGGTTTGGTCTTCCTTCGCCTTGCTGGTAACAATGTCGATGGGGGACTGGCGGTTCTTCTGGCAACTTCCAGTCCAGTTACTTGGCCCTGAGCAGGGAAGGAGGATGGGCTCAGAGGCAGGAGAGCCTCCTCCATCCCCCTAAAGTCAGCCCCAGACAGCCAGCTCACATTCAGCAAGGTCTTGGGATGCTGGAAGGCTATACTCAGGGATGCTCCGCTCAGAACTCTGCCTTCACCCTCCCAGGGCCTTCCTCCTTCTCTTCCACCTCCTCTTCCTCCCCCTCACTGTTCTTTCTTGCTCCCCTTCCTCTCCCTCCTCCTCTTCCTTCCCCCACCCTTCCTCTTCCCCCTCCTCCACAGACACACACATGCAAAGCCAGTAAGTCTGGCGATGATGTGGGACAGGATGGAAGCAGGGCTGCCACTTGGTGGCTGTAAGGTCTAGGGAATGATCAATGTGGTGATGGTGTGCCCGTGAAACCTCTGAGCCTTGATTTTCTCAACTAAAATGTAAAATGGGGCCACAATGATCACCTGCTTTCCAGGGATGCTATGAAGTTTAAAGGGGTGAATGGGACAGGGCTGTGGAAACTGCAGTGGACAATTTCTCTTCCTGAGGAATGGAAGCAGGGGAGTAACCATGGAAGAGCCTGGTTCTTGCACCCTGGTAATGCCAACCCCCAGGTGGTCAGGGGTCAAGATCAGGGCAGCACTGCCCAATCCCCAAAACTCAGAGGCAGGGGGAAAGCAGACTGCAGGGAAATTGGTCTGCATTTGAAGGAAAATGTGAAGCACCATCTCTCAGCTCCACCTGCCAGCGCTGTCCCTGGAATAGAAACAACTCTCCATTTTGCTAAGAGAAATAACAAAATGTCTTCCTCCTTTTAATGCCGCTGCTGATTTACTCCACAGGGAAATCACTGTCGTGGTGACAGGAGATGCCGGTGAAAACTCAAGTCACTCTAGGTCCCCTGTTCCCAGATCTCTGACTTGGGGACCATCATCATCCTTCATGCCTCCCTCCCTCCTGGATGCTTCCCACCATGAAGAAAGGCCAGTCCTCAAGACTGCCTATACTCACCCAAGCAGAGCTGATTGGGAGCTTCGGCTTGAATCTCATAGCACCAGTGTGATTCTAAAGGAAGAGAGCAAGGCCGTGAGACCAACATGTCAGTCTCATAGCACCAGTGTGATTCTGGAGGAAGAGATCAAGGCCGTCAGACTCACGTGCACAGACATCTCCGTGAGCACATGTACTCAGTGAATCAGGGGCTGGGCATAGCCCTGGCTTGAAGCCCTCCCTTGGGTTGGGAAAGAGTATCCTTAGGGTGTGGGACTTAGGATAGTTAATAAGAAAACAACCCATGAGCTGATCAGCTGGTCAGCTTGCCTAATGCGCTGCTTCCTCAGAAGGGCTGAGCAAAGCAGCCACCAGCCCCCAGGGGACCCCTCCAACGTGGGCCAGCCTGGTCATCAGCCTCCCCCTCACTGCTTCCATCTCTCATCCCAAACCTGGAAGGAAGGCTTTGGGGAGAGGGACCGGGGAGGATTAAGGTCCAGCCTTCCCTCGCAGGACAACAGAGTTAGGTCCAGCCTGGCAGCTTTCCTGGCAGATCTGAGTTGCTGGAGCATTTTAGGCTGGCCCCTCCCCAGAATGCCCTACCTAAACCTTCACAGCTTCACAGTCAGGAAAACAACTAGGCCTTTCCGTTACCCCACCACCCATAGTCCTATAGATTCAGGGTTCTAATCCTGGCTCTGCCTCAGCACAGTAGAGCCCAGCATCTCTGAAAGGAGGCTGCCCACATGTGTGGCACTAATGTAAGATGTTAATAATGGGGGAAGCTGTGTGTAGGGGCAGAGAGGGCATAAGGGAATCTTCTTCTGTGCTTTCTGCTCAAGATTTCTGTAGACCTAAAATTTCTCTAAAAATAGAGTCCATTACATTTTTGAAAAGGCAGGCTCCACACCCGTAGCACAGTATTATGGCGCCGGTCACATGCACTGACAGTGGTGGGTTTGAACACGGTGTGGGGCTGCTAAAACAACGACAAATTCAACAAAAAAAATAGTCCTGTGTTGTGGTGGGCACCTGTAGTCCCAGCTACTAGGGACACTGAGGCAAGAGAATCGCTTAAGCCCAGGACTTGGAGGTTGCTGTGAGCTGTGACACCACAGCACTCTACTGAGGGTGACATAGTGAGACTGCCTAAAAAAAAAAAAAAAAGAAAGAAAGAAAGAAGAAAAGGCAGCACCAGCAGGATGAACAGAGAATTTCATCCAGAGCTAGAATTTCTGGCCCAGACAGTTGAGGGGACTTGGGTGGGTTTGTGGACAAGGCCTTTAATCTCCCTGAGCCTTGGTTGTATCATCTCTAAAATGGGACCAACATACCCACCTCATAGGGCTGTGGGGAAGATTAAATAAGGGATGCACAGAACTTCCAGGCAGCCTGGCACTTATTAAAATCCCATTGGCAGTTCTTCCCTTCCCCCTGTCTCCCTCCCTCTGGTGGCCTCCTGTCAGTGAGCAGATGGCCAAAGCCAAGGAGGGGCAGAAAGAGGAGGCAAATGAAGTGAGTTGGAAAGAACTCAGGGATGAGCAAATTCCTGAGAAAAGCACGGCTCCCAGATCAAGCTAAGGCCTCTGAGCACATTCCCCACTTTCTTCTGACTGGGCTGCCCCCAGCTCCACCTCCTCTTGGATCTGGACCACAGTAGTGGTCCCTGGAATGGGGACAGGGTTGGGAGGGACCCATGAGAAGATCAGGCTCTGCGGGGAGGTGTGGGGAAGGCTTCCAGGGCAGGAGGAATAGCATCTATGAGAAACTACCGCCCCTTCTCTTGCCCCAGAGAACCACTTTGGGTTTTTGGTTTCCCAGCTCTGGACCAATGTTCCTCCCACCCTGCTGCCATAGTGTGTTTCAGGGATTCAAGGTTTTCCCCCATGACAGCCAGTCCTCTGCCCCAGACAGGGCTTTGTGCCCCTGGGAATCCCACCTATGGGTCAACACTGCAAAGGGTGGTGGCTGTTTCCCACACAAGCCCCTTCCTGCAGGTGGGCAGAGCTCAGAAGCTGGAGAACATCCCCCTGCCTTCCAGCTCTGGCTCTACAAAAGACCGAGTTAACTCTTCTGAGCCTCACCTTCCTCCTCAGACAGAAGGCCCTCCTGTCAGATGCCCAGCCCTAGTGTTGGAGAAGATCACGGATTTGAGGTCACTTAAACCACTAGAAGTCCCCACCCCTTGGAGTTCCCAAAGGCAGAAGCTGGCCCAGAGTCCTCAGGAGCCAGCAATGAAGGGCGGGGCCCTTGGTGAGCCTTCCACAACCTCTCTGGGGGCCCATCTGGTCCAGGCTTAACTTTTCATAGGAATTTGCTCTTCACTGGCTCTGGCTACAGCTCCTGGGTTGTAGTGGTAACCTCTGATCCACTGTCTTAATCATAGAGACTTTTGACCCGCTTGACTGAATGTTCTTGTAACTACCTTTTTCAGGAAGCAAGAGCCAGGAAAACATAATGGTGATGAGGCCAAGGCCAGGGGGCAGGTCTGTGTCTGTGGCGTGAGGGTGGGTGCTGGCTTTCAGTCAAGGGGTGGAGGGAGCACCAATCAGCTCAGGCTCATGAGAAGGGCACCCCTGCAGATAATTACCAGCCCACCAAGATGGCCTAGGAAAGAGAGGGGCTACTCATAGCTTCTGGCTCTGAGCTCCAGGTCCCACCCAGGCCATTGGCCTGTCCAGTGGTGAGGGTTAGGCACCTGAAAACCATTACTAGCCCTGGCCCCTACTCTTGACCCACCTACCTCCCCACCCCCCTTCTTTAGAGATGACAGAAGAAGCCCTCTCTAGTGGACCTTGCTCACCCCACCCTCCTACTCCAAGGGAAGGGGAGTAATCCTGAAAAACAGCTCAGCAAAACTCAAGTGTGTCCTGGGCAAAGTCTCAGCAACTCCTGGCCAGGGGTCTGGGGCTCTGAAGGGGGCCAAACATCCTCTCTCCTCCCCCTCGCAAAGGGAGGAGATGCTCTGGGTATTTCCATGAGCAACCTGGTGGCTCTCCAGCTTTAAGTGCCCCTGGGATGAGTGGGTAGAGAAAGGTAGGTCCCAGACAGAAAGCCTGACACCAAGGGGAGCACAACTTGTGCGATGAGGTTAGCAAGGGTGGACTCTGGTCAGTGGCAGAGCCTCATAACCATCTGTGGGGAGCACTTGGCATGTGCCACTGAACACTCTCACTGTTATTCTGATCCTTTAAACACGTGAAGTCAGAATTACTATCCCTGTCTTGTAAACAAGGAAACTGAGGTGAAGTGACTCCCACAAGGCCACACAGCTACAAAGTACCCAGGTTAACTGCAAAGCGACTCTCTTTCTGCTGTTACTACCAGGTCTAGCTGCTTACCAGGTTTCAAACATCCAACCCTACAAATAATATTTTTCACTTTCTGCCTTCCCTCTTCCCTTCTCCCCCGGAGGAGATGCTATAATGCCCCCTCATTCTCCCAGCGGGCCAGCTAAGTCCCTCCTGCAAAGAGCACACACACTCTCCCTCTCCGCTGCTAAGGGCACCTTCACCCCTCACTCCAGGACACCAAGGGCAGTGCACCTCACTTGGCAGAGGAGGTTTGGCCGGGTGCACCCCAGAAACAACCCGAGAACAGGGCTGGAAACCGGCAGACGGGGGTCATCCTGTGAAAGGGTTGGGGGGTCGCCGAGAAGGCGCCTCTCGCATCCCTCTCCCCAGTGGCTTGAAGGCCTTTTAGCTCCTTATCAAACATTAACACGCCTCCCCTGTCACCTCCCACCTCGACGAATAATTAAGAGCCTGGCCTCAACATTAATCTTTAAACGAAAATCACCCTGTCCGGAAAGACCGGCTCCACCGGGACCTCGGGTCTCCAGGTGCCCCCCGCCAGGCTCCCAGTCCAGGGCTGGGGACTAGGGAGACGACCTCAGCTTGCAGTCCTGGGGGGAGGAATCCCGGACGGAAAGGGGGGATGACAGGACCCCGCCACACTCAGTTCGCTGCTCTGGTCCGGTGCCAGGGCCGTCACCTGGCTCTGAGCCCCGGCGGGACAGACCCGCCGACAGCCGGAGGAGTACCGGTGAGAAAAGAAGGCGTGCGTCGAGGCAGGTCAGAGCCGCAGCCTCACACCCGTCTGGCCGGGGATGCCTGGCCACACGCACACGCCGCAGCCGCGCACACGCGTGCACACTCCGCCCGCCCGCCGAGCACACGCGTGTGCGCACACGGGCTCGCGCGCGGCCCCGGCTCCCGCACCGTCGCCGCCGTCCGCGCACACGCGAGCCCGGGGCCCCAGAGCAGCCCCAGCGCACCTGCCGCCCGCTCCAGAGCCTCGGCGGGGGCGGAGGCTGGGGACGCAGAGGGGTCCCCCGCGGGGCACCTGCGGCCACTCCAGGGAGCTCACCTGCAGCCGCCGAGGTCCGGGCCGCGGCGAAGACCAGGAGCGCAAGCAGCCGCCACATCGCGGTCCAGCAAAGACGCCTTGGAGTCGGGGGTCCCGTGCCCGGGAGGCTACCAGGGGTGTCGCGATTGTGCGGGCCAGGGTTTTATAGCGGAGCCGCGACGGGAGGTAGCCCCGACAGCGGGGCGCGGGAGGCGGCTCCTCCCCCTGGCGGAGCCTCCCCTCCGGTCCCCTCCTCCAGTCCCCGATCTTAAATTCTCCGGTCTCCCCTGCTCCCGGGTCCTGCCCCACTACCTTCTCCCTGGTGCTCTAGGCCCTCTCACCCACCCGGTGTCCTCTCCACTCAGAGGCGGCGCCCTCCGCGTCCTCCATCCTATCCTCGGTCCCTGGTGTGGGAACAGGGAAGCTACATCACAGGGCGCTTGACCTACACAGGGGGAGTGCCCTATATTCTTGACTTTGATCATTTTGGCGTCAACCACTGCGCAGTGACCTTGGAATGGAACCTTAGAAGGGCCTTGGGGTGGGGGCAGCAGAGTTAGCCTTGTGGCGATGAGGGAGCTGAGGGACATACAGGCTGTTTGTTGAATCAGGGACCTCAGGGGGAGGGCTCTCTTGTCTCTCTCAGGCAGTGGTCATGGATTCTCTGCGCTTCATCTTGTTTTCCGTTTCCTTCCAGGCTGCTTCAAACTTAATTTCTAAGCAACCAAAGACCCTTTTTCCAGCAACAGAGCAATGCTGTCCCTAAATTGCTCCTGCTGGCGTTTATAGGACAGCCAGAGGGCAAGGAAGGAGGGGCTGTTTGAGGGGGAAGAATTTTTTAAAAGATTGCAAAGGGGCTCAGAGAAAGAGAAACCAGCAGGGCCAAAGGGCCTTTTGGGGCCCCCAGACCCGAAAATGAGATTGGAAGAGAAGAGACTGGAGTCTGAATGGACCCCTAGTTCTCCCATCAGTCAGGATCTCCAGAGGAGTCCAGGGAAAGGAAAGTTCCCTTGAGGGAGGCTTCAGAATTTGGAGAAATGGGGTTGCTCCCCTCAAGCTACCTCTTGTCTCTTCTCTTGGCGCTGTACCCCTGCTACTGCAGATGCCATGAGTCCTACAGGGGGTGGGAGCCTCCATGGGAGTTTGGGAAGGTCAGACTGAAGTAGGGGAGAGAGACAGGGAACCAGGCAGTGGACCTGGACCCCCTCCATCAACAGGAAGCCCCGGTTTTCTGGTCCAGCCACTTCCCCATCCGCTGCCAACCTCTCATCCCCTACCGGGCTTTGAGCCTGGGCTGGGACCTCTGAAGGGGGATTGCCTTCTCCAGAACGATCCAGGCAAAGGGGCTTCCTCCTGGCTTGGAGTCTGGCCCAGGATCACACAGCCTCACTGAGCAGCTTTGATCCTACAGAGAGGCAGGTGGGAGGGGAGGGGAGGGGGCATCCACATCAGGCTTATTGTCAACACTGCTTTAGAATTTAATCATGGGAGGGGTTCCACATCCTAGAGCCTCTTCTAGGGAGTGGATTTGTGTTCACGGAGTTGTAAAAATGTTGCTTTCAGGACTGAGGAAGCCTATTCCCAGGGATTGAGACTATTCTAGGGAGTCCCTGTAGACCTAAGCCAGCTCCCCAGTGAGTAGGGTAGAGACTTAGAAATCTTTGGTGAGGTTAAGGGACTATGAATCAAGGGCTTTTGCATTGACTCCCCCCTCCAGGGAAGAGGAGTGTGGTAGTGCCCTGGGTGTGTTTGGGGGCCAAAAAGATGGGTAAGGGGAACCAGTCCCTGATGGAGCATCCCTCTGAGCAATTGGGGGACATTGAGAAAGTACTCTTCCTCAAGATTGTATCTTAATGGTGGGCACGATGGAGGCTGCACACTGGCGATGTGGATGGTCAGGGGTGGCTACTGTTCTATCTGCCATCTCTAACTCCAGAGTCACACAGGATTAGAGGTCTCCCCCACTTCTGGTCATAGAATTCCCAGCCTTATTGCCCAACTCTAACCCCAGTTCTGGCCTGCAATAAACCAGTCACTTGTCACTGTCTAGGTTGCCTGGGGCCCCACATACCTGTAGAGGCAAGGCCTGGTTTAGGGTCATTAGAGTAAGGATGGGTGCTGACTTATCCCATTGACTTACACCACCCATAAAGCTGCCAGCCCAGATAACCTTAGTGGACAGCCCAGCTCAATAGTGCCAGCCTGCAGCAGAATCCCCCAGTGTCCTGAGTTCAAGTCTTTGCTCTTCCTCTGACTCAGGGATGACCTTGGGCAACTTTCCTATTCCTCTCCGATTGCAACTTCCTCATATATAAAGTGGAGATGGCAATCCCTGCCCTGTTGACCTCTGCCAATAAACGGTTACTGGCAACCTGCTCTGAGCCAGGGCCTGCCCAGCTCAGACTTTCACAACGGGCCTCGCAGTGCCTGGGTGTGGCCTCTGGCCCATGGCGGATGCAAAGATGAATCACAATCATTGTCCCCGGGTATTTTTACTCACATGGCCTTAACTAAAACAGAAGGGAGAAAGTGGGGAGGCTGAAGGGCTTTGAGGTCAGAAATCCCTATGGTCACTTCTAACTCCACCCACTCATTCTGTGATGTCAGCTGAGCCTCAGTTTCCCTCATGTATCTTATCTTCCTCAAAGGCTGCCGTGAGGATTCAGTGAGCTGAAGTCTGAGGAGGACTGGCCCAGGGTTTGGTACAATAGCATATGTGACCATAACCTCTAAGCATCTTGCCACCCAACCAGGTTCACTGCCCACTGCCCAAGAGGAAGCCAATCTCCAAGGACATCAGGGTTTTATTCCTCATAGTGCTAAGTGGGGAGATGGGAGGAATTTCTCAAATCTGCCTCCCCAAGAATTTGGGAGACAAGGTTTTTTTTGTTTGGTTTTTTTTTTTTTTTTTTTTTTTTTTGAGACAGAGTCTCACTATGTCGCCCTCAGTGCTGTGTCTTCACAGCTCACAGCAACCTCCAACTCTTGGGCATAAGCAATCCTCTTGCCTCAGCCTCCCAAGTAGCTGGGATTACAGGCACCCACCACAACCTCCAGCTATTTTTTTGTTGTAATTGTCATTGTTGTTTGGCAGACTCGGCTTGGGTTTGAACCTGCCAGCTCCAGTGTATGTGGCTAGCGTCCTAGCTACTGAGCTACAGGCCCCAAGCAGGAGACAGGTTTTTTTTCTTTTTTTTTTTTTTGTAGAGACAGAGTCTCACTTTATCACCCTCAGTAAAATGCCCTGGTGTTACACAGCCCACAGCAACCTCTAACTCCTGGGTTTAGGCGATTCTCTTGCCTCAGCCTCCCAAGTAGCTGGGACTATAAACACCCACCATAACGCCCGGCTAGGAGACAGGGTTTTTAAAGACAGTCTGGTGGGCAGAGGATTAGGCAATTAGGGTCTGCTGATTGACTGGGTTTAGGATGGAAGCATCAGTCTCTTGGTATGAGTGGACTGCTGTCTGGGTAGGGTCAGCCAATCCATGGGTATGCAGTTTCTTGGATGAGGGGGGTCTAAGACCAGTTGAGTCAATTCCTTGGACTGGATGGTGACTAAGAAATTGGAATCCACAGGAATGCAAGACCTGTAATACACCTCAAAAACTACCCCTTAGGCTAGGTGCCTGTGGCTCAAGTGGCTAAGGCACCAGCTACATACATGTAAGGTGGCGGGTTCGAATCCAGCCCCAGCCCGCCAAACAACAATGATGGCTGCAACCAAAAAATAGCCGGGTGTTGTGGTAGGTGCCTGTGGTCCCAGCTACTTGGGAAGCGGAGGCAGGAGACTCACTTGAGCCCAGGAGTTGGAGGTTGCTGTGAGCTGTGAAGCCATGGCACTCTACCCGGGGAGATAGCTTGAGGCTCTGTCTCAAAAACAAACAAACAAACAAACAAAAAATCTACCCCTTAGGTTCCAAACACGTGATGTTATCTACAGAGAAACTTTAAGAATCTTTACAACTGTCACTCCAGAGCAGTAATTATGGAGACACAAACAAGGGGACAGTGACTGTTATCAAGTAAATGGAGGAAGAGTGGCTGATTATTATCATTGGTTTTAGCTAAGCCTATTCCTTCAGCAGAGTTTTAGGGTCCTTACTCTAGTTTTTGCCTTGCACCTCTTTATCAATTCATAAGGGGAGTTTCATCCATAGGTCCCTAACCTGGATTGAACCTGACCCTAGGCAAGTGCGGATACAGCATCAGGTGGAAGAGGACCCTATGCTAGGCCCAGGAAGAGGCCCTGGTGCATTTTGGCTCTTCCCAGACTCCCAAGGACAAGGAAGGAAGCCTCAACTGCGTGGACCTGAAGACATGAGCTTCAGATTCAGCCCTTCCTGGGACTGTGATAGGCCTGGGCTACGGGCACAAAGGGACCAAGACCCTTCACTGTTGGTGTTCTCAGCTCAGGGGAAGGACAAATACATTCACCTAAACAGAAAACTACCATGCCCTATGTTTGGAGTGGTAGACAGAATGTAAGGTAGAAGATCAGAAGAGGACTTAGAGCAATGGTACCATCCTGGGTTCACACCCCAACACCCACCCTTCACCATGGGGGTAAAGATAGAAGCTCCCTCACCTGCACATGGTGAGAAATGAACAGGACAGTGATGGGCAAAGGGACTGGTAGAGGTCCAGGTGTTTGGTACTGCTCAGTAAGCTTCAGCTGTGAGTGTGAATTGTTAAGGACAGCGGTGTCTTTATACCTAGAGTAGTACAGCAGCTCAGCGCAGGGGCATCTAACCCAGCTAGTTCATGGGGAAGAGATTGGGGAAGCTTCCCTGGAGAAGGTGAGACCTGAACTGAGTCTCAAAAGACAAGTAAGCAGGTGTTCACCAAAGGGGAAGCAAAATGCAGGTGGAGGAAATAAAATGAGAAAAGGCATGGGGGCGGGGCGGTGCACAGGAGCATTAAGTGAGAGGTCAGACTCCTGAGAAATGAGAGTGGAGAAGCATCTGGGGCCAGCCAGACAGGACTTGCTTGTTAGAATTAGAAGAGTGGATGGCTCTTTTCCTTGTTGGAGGGGTGGATATCAACAGCCTGATTTTATAGACCAGGAAACATCCTCAGAGAGGGTCATTTGACCCCAGAAGGGGACAAGGGTTCTCAGTTACTTTTCTGAGTTGCAG